ATTAAGGACATTAACACACAGCACCATCTTGTTCCATGGTAAGCTACAAGGCTTGTGTTGTGGATAACACATAGCTGATACACTTAAAAACATACATAGTATAAATTTAAACACCCATGACTGGAGTACAAACATTCGTGCTCATTACACAAATGAATACCCCCAGCGGGACTCGAACCCGCGACCGTTAGTACAGCATGTCATCAAAGATATTATAGAAAAAAATTCTAATATCTATGCAAATGTCTAACAATATTATAACAAAATTTTCTATTTCAAGCTTATAAAAGTTTTAATTTTCATATTGCTTTTAACTTACCTATATAAACTAAACTAAATAAGTTATACTATAAAGAAAGTTTTAACTTATGAAATGTTTGTAGTGATACTTAATTGGGAAAATGTCATAAGCTCCTGTTTCTTCCCCTGTATTTGGTGGAGCATATAATAAAAAGTTAATATGGATGATGAATTTTAAGTTAGACTAGAGACACACTAAATTAAAATCTTTATTAAAGGACACATAATTAAGATGTATAGAGAAAATAAATTCATATATCAAAGAGTCTCATTTCAAAAGAATATTTTAGATTACATGTTGGTTCTCTCAAACAAAGTGTTAATGAAACATCGTACTGGAATCGCGAATATATAAAACTTTCTCAGTAATAACGTTACGTTATACAAATTTTTATATTGATAGATATAATTTAAAAAAACAAAACAAGTTTATCCCACGAGAATCGTATATTTTTCCGGGATAAAAAGTAGCCTATGTGTTATTTTGATGTATGAGCTATATTATTGTAAAATTTCATTAAAATCCATTCAGTAGTTTTTGCTTGTAAGAGTAACAAACATCCATATATCTATACATCCAGACATCCATACATCTTTACAAACCTTCGCATTTATAACATTAGTAGAATCATAACGTGAAGTTTGTATTTTGCATATTTAAATAAATAATATTGAAACAAAAAACAGTGATTTTATAAAATACAAATGAAAAACACAGTTCTCGTTTACTTAACTTGTTGTATAGAAACTCTAATTAACAAACTACGTGACGAACTAACATTTTTGCTTATAATTAAGTAGATAGTGGTAGCCCAGTGGTAACGCGCTCGCTTTGGAAACCAAGCGACGTGAGTTTAAATCCCGGATCTCGCACCTATGATATTTTCATGTGCGAATCATTTTCAACATGATTATCACTTGTCTTAGGGTGAAAAAAAAAACAACGTGAGGAAATCTATATGTCTGAGAGAACCTAGCAAGTTTTTTGAAAGACATGTGAAGTCCGCCAACCAGCATTTGGCCATTTTAGTGGACTATGGCCTTATGCCCGCATGTCGCATCGAATTGTGCCCAGCAGTGGGACGTTAAGAAGAGCTGAGTCTTGTACCCAAGTAGGTAAATACATTAAGAATTTACCTTAAGTTTATTTATTTATTTATTTATTTAGTAGCGGCCTACAGAAGAATAGTTACCGATTAACGACAAATATATGAAGAAACATTTATTTTCATTTACATAGCCTACTAGCGGCTCATCCTCGCTTCGTTCGGGTTCGCCTTTGGAAAAACAAAATTAAATCTATCTCACGGAAACTGAACATTTTTCCGGGATAAAAAATAGTCTATGTGCTATTCTTGACTATAATCTATTTCTGTGTCAAATTCGTCTAGAACCGTTCAGCCGTTATCGCGTGATTGAGTAACAAACATCCATCTAAACATCTAAAGTTTTACATTTAGTATAATATTAGTATAGATTTATCAATTGAAAAGATATCACACAGTTATTTATATAGATACACTTTCTTTTATTCTTCAAATAGAATAATTTCGAATCAAATAAGTAAACCTCAAATTAGAGTTCATTCATATATCGTATTTCGTAAATACATATATCTTTCCTGTGTTTTAATAGTATACTCCCACGTACACTTATGTAGCTTCAATAATCTATACAGATAAATTAAATTGAAGCGTCTGTTTGTAATGTTAAAAATATAAATCTATACATATAATAAAGTTTTAACCGAGTCAAATCTGTACATTAAATATTTTTAGGATAATCTTATTAAAATAGTCACTATTATCGATACAGAGGCCGAATGTATAGTTTATAGAATTTTTGTCAGTTCATCTGTCTGTCTGTCTGTCTTGGAATGCATCACGAGAAAACCACTGGACAGATTTTGATGACATTTCAAATTTGATATGATAACCGCTGGTTATCCGGGGTAACATATATGATACATTTCACTACGGGAAAATATCTCATCTCTGAGAAATCTATACTAAACGTTAAAACGTACTTAGGGACGAACTCGAGCGAGGGTAAGTCGCTGGTAATTTATAAATATAAATTATCCTACTGAGTAAGAAGCGGACTAAATGAGAACAAATTAACGAAGGAACATAGTGTTATGTAATTGGATTTGATGACTATTTTTGTCTTTCGTAGAAACAAACATATATAGGTACATGTTTTATATTTGCTGCGAGTCTTGCTACGTAGGTATATCTCCAACTGCTTATCACTATTTTCTTTCATTACATCAATTCCATCTTTTTAGGTCGTTATTAACGCAATCGGAATATATTATTTATAATCTATTATTTTAAATCATTTTTTAAAAATTTATGTAAGTTGGAATATTTATTTTTGTAATTCCCTCTTAAAAACCATTATTTTGAATAGACCCACGACAGACAGGTCAAGGCTAGCCAAGAAAAAAAAATTTTAAGACAAAAAATTTGGCGTCTGAAATCCACTTTTTTATTTTTAATATCATCTATATACACTACGGCACTTAAATTCCTACACAATCATCAAATTGTTTAAGCCATTATTAGGTTTTTGTTTTAATTTAACGATAACATAGAATCGGACATATACTTTAATTTTAACTACTTTGAATTTCCCACTATATTTGAAGTTTTCAATAATTATTTTCTTAATCAAAAAGAAACACAATTGATTTATATATAGGTAATATTGATTTGTACATATATACATACATAATATATAGATTAAATTTAAACAAAACATGTTTGTCACCTATTAACCTTTTCATTTAAGAATCAGATCACGTAAAATACACCAGAAGTGAAACACCAAAGCGAGTCAAACTCCACCTGCACAGGGATGGTAGGTAGAATAAATTAATAAGAGACACAGAATACGCCTTCAAACATATTTGTATGGATAAGACACTTTAGTTTTAATTAAACAATTTTTTGCCTGTTATCTCGTTCCAGTTATTATAATAAAGGATCTAGGTGATTAGGTTTAGTTTAAATTTAATTAATATGTATATGCTTTTTCATAATTTGTATTTTTTGTATGTTTAAATTGGCTTTTATCTTTTGATTTGAAAAAACCCTTTGCGAAAAAAAAATCTTGGCGCAGCTGCTGGCAAATGCAAGGGCTATACAAAATGGGAAATTAATCAATTATAAAATATAAAAATTAATTTGTTTTTAGTTCTTAGAACAATTTGCTTTAGTTAAGTAATGTTTAAAAACTTAGGGAAACTTAAGGAAACTTAGGGAAAGTTACATAGTCAACAGTGGACTTCAAATGGCTTTTATACAATTTTCTTTGTCAATATCACGAAAAAAAGATAAGACACGAAGGAGAATTTGATATTTAGTTATGCATTTAATAAATTATTTCATTGCAAAGTGAAAAACTACCGCATCCATACATTTATAGCGCACTGCTCCTCAATCTGCATGTTGCCAGAGCCTCGACTCGTCCATAATTCACATAATGAGAGCAGATGTTACTGGGAGATGATTCTAGGAACAATAATCTTCACCTGTATACTGTTTGTATCTATCCATAATATGTTGTTGGGATGATGTAATTAGTACTTGAAAGTAAATTAGATTTTGCTGCAAATTTTGTAAAATGGAGCAATATTACGTTCACTCTTGAAAATATTTAAGCATAAGGAGGTCAAAGACTTAATGAGTATTTAAATTATTAGTTTTGAACTAAAAAAGATATTACAGTCAATGTATTTAAAATTATTTATATCTTGCTTTACATATATCGTTTATGTCGTGTATTGCTCAAATTAATATTGATATAGAGTATACACCTACGTACCTACATATTAACATATTTGTAGATAATACATTGTTTGCTCATATTTTTAATACTTGAAACATATTGTATTATGTCTATAATTTCAAAATAATTCAAATTCAAATTCAAAATATTTTATTCAGCATTAAATTATTACAATTTTTTATTGAACGTCACGAGTCTACTACCAGTTTGGAAAAAAGAAGCCTCAGACCTGAGAAGAACTGGCGAAAGAAACTCAGCGGGACTAACATTAAGTTGTTATCTTTTTTTAAAGTAAAATTATAATTTACAATATTTCTATCAACTTGAAGTAGCCTGGAGGCGATCATTTCATTCCCAAGGGGTGGCATTTTCTATAAAATCATTTATTGTATAATTTATTTCTTAAATATTTTTTTTGAATTTGGCGATAGAAGCCTTTGGAACATTTTCTGGGATCCTGTTGTACAAGCGTATACATTGTCCATAAAAAGAATTTCTGACTCTGTGTAGACGAGTCACAGGCATTACAAGTTTGTGTTTACTCCTAGTATTAATGTTATGCATGTCACACTTCTTGGGAAATTCGTGTATATTTTTACGGGCATACATAACATTTTCGTACACGTACTGAGAAGCAACAGTCAATATTTTTATTTCTTTAAACTTACCTCTTAATGACACTCTAGGACCTTAACTATAAATTGCACGAATAGCTCTTTTCTGCAGGACAAAAATCGTATTAATAGCAGCTGCATTTCCCCATAGTAAGATACCATAGGACTTAATACTATGAAAATAACTAAAATATACTATGCGAGCTGTATCTACATCAGTAAGAAAGTACATAGTTTAAAATATAAAGAATGATGATGATACTGAGAAATGTAATGAAGATGCTTACAATTTCAGCCCTTAGACACAATTACATGATGATCAATTAATTTTAACTTATAATTATCCTTTGCCCCGATCCAGTCTTTAACCAAGTATTTGATATATTTTCTTGCTTCTCTGAGCTCTTCAGAGTCGTTTTTCTTATTAGACACTATGTCTCGGCAGTGCGACACGCTTGGAATAATCACAGCTGGTGCTTTATAGGAAAGATCTTCTAAAATACTTAATGTACTCCAAGGATCTATATCCCCATTTGTAAAAACAACCTTCGTCACATTAGGTTTTAGCCCACCATACAATTGATTCACAGCTTCTATGCCATCGTCAATTCTTTTTTCATCGAATTCAGGACCAAATAGCGCTGTGCATATTTTTACATAATAACTCAGCGGAATATTACTAGTAAACGGTTGTTTATTTGAGTTCGTGGTTGTAAAATAGCCAAACTCTGTACATATTTGGTAATACCAAGTTATAATCCATTCGTTTTCTTCCTTTTGTAACTCTTCGTCATTAATCATTTCTTGAAAGTCGTAATTATGACATTTTTTACTTTCGCCATCATCATCTGATCTAATCCGTAAACTGTCGTTTAGACGTTTACAATGATTTTTAATTTTATCCGGATTACCATATTGAGCATTCGTCATATATTCATTAACTTTATTAGAGAAAAAAGTTTGTTGATTCTCTGGAATAGTTAAATTACAATTTTCGCAAATATTTTCCTCACTTTTCAACTGCTTGATTCCTTCGGCACTCTGTAAGAGCATATCATATCTTCGAAATATCTGTTTTATTGTATCTAAACAGTCCTGTGTTCCAAACAGTTCGTAAACAGTATTCACTTTCTCCAGATACTCATGAAAATTTTTTTTTGCTAGCACCGGAGCACTGCTTGATATTACAGCGTCTACTACATCTGGATAGAATAACCTCATCCAAACAGCCAAGTTTCCTGCATATGATCCACCAATAACTACAATTTTAGAATACTTGAATTGGGGTTGTTGCTTTATATATTTCAATAAATGTTCTAAGTCTGCCAGGGCCTGTCTTGCAGTCAAAAATTTAAAATTTTCTACATTTGTGTTGTTAAATGGCTTACTCTTACCATAATATCTGTGTTCAGATATATAAATAGCGCCATTTGTTTCCTTTGCTAATTCATACGTCATTCCAGCTGATGCCCATATCGGTGACACACTGCTTTCGCCACCCACAAACAAATATATAGGTCCACCTGGTCTCCATAGGTCAATTCTTTGTAAATATCTCATTTTCCACTTTCTATTTTCTTTTGAACTAAAATGATCTAATTCTTGATCTATCCAACGCGCATATGTGTGATTCAATGTACTATTTTCATGTGACACTAACGTCATCTCAACACTTATTTCTTTATTTAGTGCAAAAAATACATTTCTGTCATAAAAAAAATTTAAACTTTTAACAAAATAATGATTTAAAAGAAACAGCAATAGAAGATATTTTAAATACATAATGAACAACACAGTTTAAGTATAATTTTGATACTACTTTCGATGAATGTTATTCGTGTTCCTATTTATTTGAATATTTGTAGCGATAAGTGCACGTGAAGAATTTTTAACTATGTTAGCACATTATACTATCTTGACTAATTTTTTCATCCGACTGTCGATGATTTTCACAAAGTATAAATTAAACTGAATATTATGTTTTTATGTAAAAAAATCGAAATTTTATAAGCGAGAATATGACTTGTACTTGTTAGGTCTACTATCACCACACAATTATTGACGAACACGTTTATTCTTATTAATTAGTTTAATTGTGTATGTTTTTATCTCGTATCCAATGTACTCTTGATTAATTTTTATTGTGTTAATTTATTTAATATATGTAACTAGATCAATATATACAAATATTGCAACAAAAAAAACATGGTAAGTTTATCTGTACACTCCAAATTAAGAACAAATAACTCATTTTTATCTAAAAGGTTTTAATTTAAAAACGAATTATATAACGCTCGTACACTGCGTCAGCGCACTAACCAGTTTTCGCGTACATGTGTGTCTATACAGCTTGTTCTAAAAAAGGTTTTAATTTATTTTTATATTTTGTTAATTTTATCTTTTAGGAATATAGTTAAAATAGTAGTTGAAGAAAAACTACATATTTCACACACAAAAAACATCTTTCGTAATCATTGACATAATTTCTAATTTTGTGTTTGTATTGTTCTTTGTAAAATGGTTCTCATTATTTCTTATTGCTTGTAAGTACAAACAAGGTCATCGACAATTAGTATGAAATAGTTTCGATTCCGTGGTCATATTACAGTACGTACCTACGGTTAAAATACAGTCCAAGATTTGCTGTAAGGTATTTAAATGGTTTAATTTAAAGTTATGTAATTCCATAAACTCTTATTAGGTATTGGTCTAACTATATTTTCTTATTGTGGATCAGTCAAATATTTTCCTGTTATGATGCAGACATTTATAAATTTTGCATTTTTTTTACTTAGTTACATTTTACATCAGCTATACGTATATTATCTATGTGTAGAGGTTAATTAACAGTGATTTATTTTTTTAGAGATATTTGAAGCACAATATACTAATTCACGCAGTTGTCTACAGAAAGGCTTCACATAAGGAAACTGTGCGAGTTGAGATGTGAATGAAACGATACTTACTTTAGGTATAACTTCCCACGAGATGACGCTACGGTGTTTACACTTCAAAATCATTTTACGTGAAAAAAGGATTGCATTTGACAGCGTTTCCGTTAAAATCAATGGCCTACCATATGGATTTTTATACTGTGTTTGAATAACTACATAAGTAACATATTTTTGTATTAATTTTGGATATACATATTTGAGCCTGAGGTCCCTAAAGTTAATTTTTATTAGAGTTTATTATGAAACCATTTCGCAAAGTTAAGCCGACAATATTTTAAGATATGAATAATATCTAATAGGTACGTATCGAAATATATTAGATTTGCTTTGCATCGGCTGGCACCGACTTCGAAAATATCTGTTTAATCATATATTCTAAATGAAAACCTCAGTTAAGCTATTTTTTACATTTTAGTGCCTGGAAGTCGGGTTTTACTTATTTTTTTAAGTTTTTATACAACTTTTCAAATCAAATCAAATCATAATATGCTTTATTGAAACAAGCACTTTTGAGTTATCAATTTTACATTTTAAATTTAAATTAAATGTTAGTATAGTCAGTCCGTGGGAAATCTACCACCGGCTTGGTATGCAGTTCATTTGAAATGTCATTAAATTATAAATCGTTAAATATTTCGAGAATCAAAGATATACACAAAAACTTCTATATAACACACTCGTATACTTAAGCAAAGCAAATTTTATCTGCTATTTTATTTGTCTAAGTACAATGAAAACAGATAGCTAAGCGAGATAAATCCGCCCATTGTAAAACAAATTTGCGAAATCTCCGCATAACATTCAACCGACAAAAACCCCACTTCTGTTTCAAACACACGGTTTTACGCTTCTGCCTCGATGCAATAAAATTGATATTTTATATTCGTTTGCCATTGTACTTTTCGAATTTTTATATTTATGAATCGCGTGCATTTTATAGGATAGTGGGATAGTGCTTGGATTAATATGTTTTTTTCACTTATTTTTGCCTCTCAGTTTACTCGTATTTTGAAAGCTATGTGTTGTAATATCATAAAAATTATACTAAAATCATAAACACTGCAAATCTGACCTGGGGCTTAGACGAGATAGATGTCTTTCTACACTCATTGAAAAATAAAAAAAATATAGAAACATAATATGTTATCACCATATTATAGGGATAACGCAGTGGTAGCTCAGTGGTAACGCGTTCGCTTGGGAAACCGAATGAAGTGGCTTCAAATCCCGGGCCTCGCACCTCTGATATTTTCACGCGTGAATCTATATAATTCTAATATAATTACAGGTTACCACTGTCTTACGGTGAAGGAAAACATCGTGGGGAAACCTGCATGTTTGAGAGAACCTAGCAAGTTTTCGAAATACATGTGAAGTCCGCTAACCCGCACTTGCCCAGCGTGGTGGACCTAATCCCTCTCGTATTGAAGGGAGGTCCGTGCCAAGCAGTGAGACGTTACAAAGGGCTGGACACATATTATGGGGACGACATATTATGATTTTATGACTATATAAAGATTAAATTTACGACTTCAATACAATTGTTAAAATTTCTATAATTAATTCATCGATTGAAGAATTGTTTAAGCTCCCTTATTCTGAAAATTATTACACTAATAGATACCTATGTTTTCCTGATAATATGATGCTTTTATTTTAATATAACAACAGATTTCTTCGAAAAATATTACTGTTCCTAAAATCTCTTGTGTTACAGATGACCATGAGCGACGATAGCCACTTACCATCAAGTGGATCGTTTGTTCGTTTGCACCTTTTTCTACAAAAAAAGGTTGTTAGAATTTGAGCGAAACGAGAGTTGAGAGTTAGTCTAAAATATTTTCCTCTAACAAATATGTATAACTTTCGCTACTACTTTAAGTATGAGCAGCTTATAACTACAGCTATGTTAAAATTAATAAAACGTTACTAAAGTAGTTACGTAAATATTTTTGTACTAAATCAAAACATTCCCTTTTACTGATATTTAAATAATAATATCCTTCCAATACATTTTTATTGCAAGGAAGTATAAATACAAAAACGCTGGTAAAAACTGCCTATATTAATTTCTATATTATATTGTTTTTTATTATATAACACCAGTTTCATTCCAATATTAAATGCCTATATATAAAATAAAATTGTAACGGGGCCGTTGTCTATATATAATAGTGTGAAACTGAATCCATGGTTTGACTTATAAAATTAGGTAGGTATTACATATTTAAAATAAAACATTTTTTACTCACGGAAAAACCACTGGAGGGGTTTTAATAAAATTTGGAATAATGATAGCTAGTTATCCGGATCAACATATAGGATACTTTTTACTGCGGGAAAATATCTCATCTCTGAGAAATCTATACTAACATTAAAACGTAAGTAGGGACGAACCCGAGCGGAGTGAAGGTGAGTCGCTAGTACTTTTATTAAGTTAGAAACTAATATATGATGTATATCGTAATCAAGTACAAATTCAAAACAATCAACATACATAACTTACCCTAAGTAAATGTGAACGAACAAATCACGAATCCTCTCTGTATGAAATCGGTTATGCCACTTCATAATATAAAAAAATCACTTCACCTAATAGGCTGTTTAAGTTCCATTGCAGGTCGATAACAATACCAATAAAATTGCTTTTGAAACGTCAAACGATATGCTAATACCGCCCCTTTTATATTCACCGCACGGACCCGATATTTCACCGTGAGATCTGCTAAAATTCAGATAAACGCTCATGTTTGTGGAGATGGACTGTGACTGGAATATTAAAGAGGGTTTTAGGGTTTGCTTTATGATCGTCATTTTTGGGATAACTTAATGTAGGTTGGAGAAATATTAAATTAGTGTAGATTTAAGTTGTGTTAGCAATTTTTATTTTCAGACAAATATTGTTATACGCTTTGTTAGATAGAAATAATATTTAATTGTAATTAAAATGAAGTTCAAAAATTAGTTATATTATTTATATTTTATATCTATTTATTTTATTAATTATAATTAATATTAAATAATATTTTTTATTAATAAAAATATTTTATTTAAAGAAGTCGTTTCTATAACAAATTAGCATAGAACACCTGAATATCGGCAGATTGCGGCTTACACTTACAGCAAGCGTTCCCGGCTATTCTCCGCCTCACTGGATACAGAATATATAAAATCCAAGCCAATTTCGACCTTAATCCATTCAAATAAGGCATAAATAAACTGCAAAGTAGTTAAGTTTGCTAGATTCAAGCTTTTAATTCTAAATTAGTCTAACACAAGGAAATTTCACCTTTAAGTAATAAGCATTAGAGTCGATATAAATGATTAAATTTTCAAACGACTTCATGAATAATTCTATGATAGAGTTATTATTGTTGATAAATACATTGCAAGTGAAAATGAAATGGAAATAAGTTGGCACGTCATATATATATATATATATATATAAGAATCCTAAAGGTGTTTCTCAATAACCTATCAGTCTGAAGTTTTTCTTACTAGAGATAGTTTTTGACATAAGCTCCATACAAATTGTTTCAAATACTTATCTCTAGTAAGAAGATATTAGTTAGATAGATAATTAATTAATTATTATTGGAAACCGCCATATTTTGAACTAGTGTCTAGCATTAATTATTACATACAACGCCATCATCTGGCGAATTTTATAATTTATAAGCCATTTACATACTATAATATAGCAACACAACC